AAAAATGTATATTTAATAAGATAAAATTATTGTGAAAAAGATTTTCAAGATGCAAACTAATATTATTTAGTTTAACTATGATAAATTCTAAACTATAGAGACGCTACTGCATTTTTTTACATACAAGGATCAATAAAAGTAATTAACACAATAAATTTATTTTACCAAAATTTGTATTTTCTACATAATATTTATAATCATCTTTTTTAAACAGATTATTATATTTTCAGAATAGTATATTTTGCATAGAATTAGTACGTATAATTATTTTTGATAAATTAAATTATAATGTATCAATTTTTCATTTTGATGACTATTTTATATATTGAAATAAATATATATCTGATGAAAGATGACTTATGGTTAGAAATATTCTTTCGAAACGCGAATACGTAAATTTTGAAAACAAGTACAATAGGAAATAATCTTCTTTTATCGCAAAAATTTTTTACGGATCGTTTTTCTTACATCCATCTCATCTTACTAATAATTTGTATTTGTATACAATATCAATGATGAGCGATTTATATCGTTCAGACAATAATGCAATAATCGCATTCTTCGGGATACATGTTTGATTATTTTTAATGACGGATTCCGTTCAAAATTTTTCTATTTATGAACGTTTCTCTGGTGGCGTACCAGATAATACTTGCGCCGAAATTTTGTACAACAAATCGAGCAACTGTATTTTGGCAACACGCCGCATACTTCACGTAGATGTCTCGATAAAGAATCCGGCCATTGATAACGTTTGCCGCATTTGTAACATGTAAATGGTTGATCCTTGCTAACACGGCTTTTCCTCTTTTTGGGTCCTGAAACAGATCGTAAAAAGGTCTAATGAGATAAATTTCATTGACGATTCCTTTTAATTTTTGCATTTGATTCACATCGCAATAGATAATGGGAGTTTACTGAATCGTCGTCATTTTGAATGAGATGACTCTTTTTGCCTACAAATCGATTGCCTACAGTATTGTTTGCCTATATCACTTTTGCTGACAGTTCGTTTGCACACAAAAATTATTGCCTACAACTCGATTGCCTACATGTACTATTCTCTGCTTTAAAAAAGACAAATTCTCTGTTTTAAAAATACAAATTATTTTCTTACTTAACTTAATCTTAATTTTATATTTGTGCGCAAACATGCTTGTAGGCAATCGAACTGTAGGCAATAATACATGTAAACAATTGAGGTATAGGTAATAATTTTTTTGCGCAAACGAACTGTCGGCAAAAATGATGTAGGCAAACGATACTGTAGGCAATCGATTTGTAAGTAAACGGGATTCTCTAAAAATAGTAAATATGAAAAAAAACGTTGATTTTTGCTCATATTACTCGATTTATCTAAAAAAAACCTGACGTGATGGACATCTTTTCCTGGCGGATTTGGATTCAACAATTTCGAATTTATTAAAAAATACTAATCCTGCTCGTCGCAGATTTTCTTGCTGGACTGGGTAATTTAAAACTGGTTCGACTGTTTTTTCGACGTTAGAACGACATTAGAACAAATCCTTGATCTGAAATAATAAAAGGTTCGAAATAACAAAAAAATGAAAACAACTCTAGTTTAAATAATTTAATTTAAAAAATTAAGAAATTTAATTAACAAAAATAAATTTTATATATTATACATTTATATGTTATATATTTTTTAATAAATATTAAAGAAGGCTTTTAATGATACTTTTTTGACAAATGTATTTTTTTTAAATTACATCATTATTTTTTAAAAAATCAAAATTTTAACCAATTCGTTTCAAAATTGCATTTTGTGTAAATGTAAGCTTTAGTGTTTCAACTTTAAATTGAGTTTTCTCACAGTTAAAAAAGAATTTCCCGTAATGCCAAAATAAAGGACAGTAAAGGATAATATTGGAAAATAAAGGGCAAAATTGAGTTTTGAAGAAACAGATAAATCTAAAGAATAGCCACCTAAAATAAAGAATTATCCTTTACAATAAAAAATGTACAGTCACCATACAAATACTATTAGAACGCGAATAGTTAAACGAAAAACTAAAATAATGTAATAATTTAATACGGAAGATTTTCAATAATACAATAGTACAGTTACAGTTCTTAGAATGTTATGAAACATTGCAAATATTAATGAATATATATATATATATATATATTATTTATATATATATTATATATATATATATATATACATACACACATACACACACACATACACACACAATAATATATACATATGTATATACATATTTTTTCAATGTTTCATCACTTTATCTATGTAAAAAATTAAATAAACATTATTATAGCTTTTTCATTGTTTGTAATAAAATTGATGTTTAGTTTAAATAGTTTTAGTTTACAGACAGCAAGTAATAAAGTTCTTTTTCTTAAATTATCGAATTGTTCCTTATTTAAATAAAACTTCAACTAACATATACGTCGGTCATATCACAAATTAGCAATCCATAGATGATCCACATTATTTGCATATCTTCCTAAGGGATTATCTTTAATTGATATTTCACTATGTAAAGAAACTGTAGAACTTAATGAAAAATAATTAAGTATTAAAATATCCGAATTAAAACGATTTTTGTTTTTCTTATCTTTTCTCGGGGCAGCTTCTTGTAAAAATAGATTCAATAGATTTAGTAGACAAATAGTGCTAAATTAAGGGTTAGCAATAACAAACACAATAAAATCATTTTTATGTATTTTATTTTTAATAAAAATAAAATAAATCAAAATGTAGAGCAACAAAATGAATGTTTGCTTCTGTATGTATCAGATAAGAATTTAATTTATCATAAATAGAAAAGCTATAGCTTAATGATTTAACACGTTAAGAGCCTCTTTTGTTTCACTTTCCGTTTACGCCAAATGCCATCCATTAATACCATCTATTAATTTTTATTAAAGTATTATATTCTCCATTTACTTTAAATTCCTCAAGAATTGACATCTAAATGAAATGTTTATCCTCGATACACAAGGACGGTGGCGTAAAATAAACAAAAAATTGAGCGCTAGTTCGTAGAGACCAGCATGGTGTAAACGAAAACTCTAGTGCTAGTCCATAGGGACCGGTATTTAATGTGTTAAACAGACGTGATATAATATTAATACCATATATTAAAGCGCATATGTCGATACAATATTAATACAGTATCAGTTATCTCATCGAACTAATCAAATAGCTTCTTTTTTATAGATATAAAGTTTTTTTAGATTAGGTTTTTTTTTAATTATCTCATAATATTATACTTTAGGGTAAAATTGAGAAGCAACACATTATTTGTAAATTGTTGCTTCTTTTCGGTAACGGTTTTTACTTTTTTTCTGTCAATAATGGTAACGATATTATTATTACTTTTTTACAATAACGAATCGAATTAAACTGTTTTTTTATTGTTATTTTAATTTCCTATTATCTTTGTATTTACTTAATATATCGCATTATTTTTTAATAGATAAAAATATTTTAATTAAATAAAAATTTAAATATTAAAAAATATTTTTTACTTCATATTTTCATTTGTGAATTATAATCTAAATTCCTAAAGAAGTATATGTACATTTAAAAATAAAAATATTAATGTAAAGAATTATAGAACAATTATAATACAAAATTAATTTTGTATTATAATTTATGATGGAAATTTAGATAAGTATTTAGCTATAGTATGGCTCTTACGTGGATGCCATGTTGCCATGTCAAGCCCGTATTCTGTACACGTAAACAATTGTCGATATCTTTATGTATCTTGCACAGATATTTTGTATAGTAAAAAAAAACTACGCAAGACACATAATGACATTGATATATAATTGTCAGTAGACGAGTATAGGACAGTACTTCAGAAACAAGCATGGCAAATTTGCAAATGCCACACCAGGGAGGATCTCGTTTGCTTACAAATTGATAGCCTACAGCATCGTTTGCCTACAGCATCGTTTGCCTACAGCTTAATTGTCTATGTGCACTATTGCACACAAAATTGTAAAATTAAGAGAAAAACTTTTACTGCACACACGACACTGTTGCGCACAACCACTTTTGCATACAAAATTAAGGTTGAAATTTTAAAAGATTAAATTATGTAAATATAAAATAATTTGTATTTTTATAGAAGAAAATTTGTATTTTAAAGCAGAGAATTTATTTTAAAACAGAGAATTTGTATTTTTAAAGTAGAGAATATTTGTAGACAATCAAGTTGTAGGCAATAATCCTACAAGTAGGCAATCGAGCTGTAGACAATAATACATATAGGCAAATGTGACTTCGTTTTTGAAATTTTTATTTGTGCGCAAAAATGCTCGTAGGCAATCGATCTATAGGCAATAATGTTATGAGTGCAATGCAGTTTATGCACAATAGTGTCGTGTGTACTGCAAAAGTTTTTCTCTTACTTTTACATTTTTGTGTGCAATAGTGCATGTAGGCAATCGAGCTGTACGCAATAATTTTTATACGCAAATGAACTGTCGACAAAAGTGATGTATGCAAACGATATTGTAGGCAATCGATTTGTAGCTAAACGGAATCCCCCATAGATATGGAGTGGATTTTGTTTCACAGCGATTTATATATAACTTTATTCAAACATTTTTAGCATTAAACTTTTTTGAATGAAAATCCATTGATGAAAATCCATTCAAGAGATCTATTCATTTGACATCATTTAGAATATTTCTGTCAAAATTCATAATGGACGTTTTCGGAAATTCATCCCATAATGTAGCATATGTCTCTAAAAGGGAAGGCCGCTTAACTTGTAATTATTTGTAACTCGTGAAGTAATCCATGTGTTTCGCATATATATTATAAATAATTACATATTAAGTTGGCTATATCCTTTAAGGCGTTCACTATAGCGTCATATCGATAGGTTATGCAACACCGGTATTATTCAAAATAAAATACAAGCAACTTTGACTTTTTTATTCTGTTCACAAATGAAGTATGATATAATTATATGTAATGTATATATTATATGATCAATTATATAAGAAATAAATTATTGATCCTTCCTTTGCCCATCCCGATCCTTCCTCTGCCCATCCCGATCTTTTCTGTGTCCGTCCCAGTCCTTCGCATTGCTAAGCGAAGTACTTAAGGCCTTCAAAAGAAGTTTTGTCGTTACAATTTCACCTTGGAATTCATTTTGAAGAAGTATGTCTATAAATTGAAGTAAGAAAAATTTATTGATAACACAACAAATTTTTATATTAAAATATTACTAAAGCTTCTTCATTAAATTATTTATGTAATAATAAAATATTCATGTGCACCTTCTATACATGCATATAAATGTTCATCCTTCATGAGGGCTTTTCCAGGCGTTACTTTAGATGCTGTATACTCTATAGCGACATTGCGTGTTATAACCATTTTAATCATAGATGTTATATTTTTAGATAAAGTGGTGGAATAATCCACATAACGGCGGAGATGCTCGCACTAGAATGATTAAGTTTATATTAGCAAAATAAATATAATACATAAATAAGTATTTCTGAACAAAGTAATTGTGCTTACAAAATTCAATCGAAAATCAGTATCATCGTTGAGACGATCATTGAAGTTTTTAAAGTCTTCTTTGTTATTAAATGGAAGCTTAATATTATACTTTTTTAAAAATATATTGTCCAAGTCTGCATTTTTATTAGACTTTTTGTTAGTACTTTTTATTAGTACTTGATTCAACTGTATTTTATTCTTTACTACCTTCATGTCTTCCACAAGACTTCCTACTTTGACTGATAGTGAATCTAATTCTGTAACCAAATTCAATTACACGTGCACATACGATTTAAATATTTAGACAAAATATTTTTTTTAAACTTACTAATATTAATTTTTGTAGTTTCTTTCTCGAACATTTCCTGAAGTTTTTTCCAAATTGCACTATCAATGCTAAGAGTATTCGATCCTATAATTCATACACTATAAATTTGTACCAGAAAATATAATACCTTTCGACGACTAATAATCGAGTCCGTTAAGATGTTCAAATAATTATTTAATTAATATAAAATTTAATTATTATAAGAGCAAAAATTTATATACATACGTTTCGACTCACAGAAGCCTTCATCAGTTCGTTAACATAAAATTCCTAATTACATTTTATCATACAGATATAAAAAGATATCTTGGCACATAACAAGCATCAGAAAAATCTTGTACAGCCATACATCCCCTTTTCTTTGAACTGCTGATTTATTTCACACTGATTTATTTCACACCATGACTATCATTTTTACATATTTTGACTATCACAAATATTGGATTTAATGTTGATTCTTGCCGGTTAACAAGGATTGTATGTAGTTATGAACTTGATATTTTGACTATTTTATTGAGGACATGGTGTATCAAAAATTATATTCCATCTATTTTCACGGTTTCGACTAAGATGACTGTTTAGCAGACGATATAAATCGTTATCCATCGTTATTTTATATCTTTATTTTTATCTGTCGAATAGAATGTAATTAAGAATTTTATGTTAACAAACTGATGAAAGCTCTGAGTCGAAACATATGTATATAAATTTTCTTATAGTAATTAAATTTTATATTAATTAAATGGTTATTTGAACATCCTCATGGACTCGATTATTGGTCATTTGTGAAAAGGTATTGTTTCGTATATATTCGAGCATTACATTCTTATTTTATTACTAAATTTGTGGCAATTTTAAAATTGTTCATATTATATCATACCTGCAGTTGAAACATTGATGCTTTCACATAGAACGGGTATATTGGCGTCTAGTAATATCTCCAAAGGTGTTTGCTCTGAAAAAAAAAAAATCTGAAATATGTTTTCAAATATGTTATTATATCATTTAGTTGGGAAAAGATTGATCCGATCCTTTTCTCATTCCAATAAGTGTTGGATCCTTTAGTCTTTTTTTAACAAAGGAATATATGTATTATACCATTTTACAAATCTATCACAATATAGTTTTCTTTTTGTGTGGTTTGTTTAATTACATTTTCTTTTGATACATTCAAAGCCTTAAAATATTTTTAGCCCAGGGACAGATATTAAAACGGAGCCCCTTTTATTCATAAGAATTGAGCATCTGTTATTTATCCTTGTTATTCACAATGCTAAACAAGGATAAAATGATACACTAATTGCTGCGTAAGCGAATGCACGATGCATCCAAAATGTATGTTTCCAGATTAAAAAAATATATAGAAATGTGTACTTTTTTGATGAATATTGTGCGTTTTATTGTGCGAAAAAATGCAAAATTAAAAATTTTAATTATTTATTTGCATTCGATTATTTACTTTTATCAATAAAATACAATTTTAAGCTAAGGAGCCCCCTAAAAAGATGGGGCTCAGGACTGAGCTCCCTTAGAGCCCTCCTTCCCCCCTTATATAATCCAGCTCTCTTAATCCTAAATATATTGGACGGTAAAAATATATTTGGACAAATTCAATCTTGGCTAAAATGATACTGCAATTCATAGCGATAATAAATCTATTAATAATTATCAAATGCATAAATTGTTATTATCACTATTACTAATGTTAGTTTGATCTAAAATATAATGTTAGTTCGACTTAAAATATTTTCATTGATTTCCGAAAAGAGATTTGCATCACAATCAATCCACAATATTCTCTTAACCTTTCACTAACATCAGAATTAATCGAAGACTCGTTATTGTCTAATTAACACTAAATATTCATAGAAAGTTCGATTCACATTCTTAATATGACGAATATTACGGAACAATAAAAGAATAGTCATAGAATGTGCAAATATCGATGAAATATTCAGAATATTTTATGAATACTCCTATATATCACAAAAATTATGCGAGAGAGCAATACACATTTTCGCCAACAAAAGGTTGCGACAGAGAATATTCATGAATAAGAATCACCTGGGAAAGAATACAAAGAGCAGAGCATTTTGTCTGTGAAGTGAGCCCCAAAGTGAGCTCTAAGGTGAAAGCATGAAATTTATTCTTTATAGACATAGTACAATTTTGTTTAAAAAATGATTCAGGGATGACCGGATCTGGAATTTCTGGAAAAATTAAAATTTTGCGAAATATGTATGGAACATTCTCGGAATATTATATGTAACGATATATAAATAGAATTTTTAACCAATATTTGAATGTTTTTACATTTTTTTTAATGTATATTGCAGGAATATTTAGAGTTAACTGGGTGTATGCACTTTTTCGAATATTGTTTGAATAAACATCAATATCAATACCTTCTATATTTGTGCCTTCTATATTTTATCACTATTTTGGCATATCACGTATAATGTACTCATGTACTTTATTTTAATGATCAGATTAAAATTTTTTATTTGTCGATATTTTTGCTTGGAAATTTGCTTTCAGTTTATTAGATTCCATTGTAAATAAATAATATTAAGAATATCTCTTCTCATATTTTGATAAAAATATTTTCAATCGATGCATTTTCGTGTAAAAATAGGTTTGACAAAAAAAAAGAGTAATTATTCAGTTTAGCCTACGCCACCTTACAAATCAATGAAATTAAATTTATTCGTGTTTTAAAACGAAAGACTCTGGCAGAAAAAAAGCGTCACTTTGTCCTGTGAGCCTGATATTAATCATTAAAGTTTATGACTATTCAGGTTTGGAAATCTGTCACAGTTACAAAATACTGCGATGCGAACATGCGCTACATTTAGATTCTTTGTGGCCACATGTGTTTTAGGCATTTCTCGCTGTAATGTCTTTATGACATTATGCATTGGAGATTGAGGAAATTGCGAATTGAAGATTAAAATTCGACCAATCAGATAATTTTAATTTTAGTCTATTTCGTGATTGGCTGAATTCTAATCCTTAATTCGCAATCCTTAATCTCCAATGTAATATAATACGGGCATTAGGGTGCCTTTATACATAATTCGTAAAACATAATTACAAAACGTAGTTCACAAATGCTGACGCAAAATGACAATCACTCCACGCAAGATACACGCAGATGAAAACTAATTGTACGCAATGAAAAGACAAACGCAAATCTTCATTCTATGTCTGCGTTTGCGAATTACGTTTTGCGATTTGCGAATTATATAAAAGCACCTTAATAGAGTTCGAAATTTGAGGAATGAGCCTACAATGTACTAAAAATAATAAAAATTGAACAGATTAGACAGATCTTTATGTAAGTGTAAGTAGAGCGTATATTAATTTAAGGATTCTTATATCTTATTTCCTGTCCAGCGCTCATTAAATTTTGTGAATAAATTACTGTGAATACCAGACTGTTTCCATATCAGATCCATATCAGATGAGGCGCGAGTCTGTCATAGATCACGTCGGATTTTTAAATAAATTTTACTGTGACTGTCAAGCTATTTCCATATCAGGTCCATATCAGATTCAAGACTAAGTCTTTTATGGACTATGTCAGATTCTTTCAAGTGATTATGGCGTAGCAAAGTATCGTGACGTTGCCGAGGACATTTCTATGAATAGATAACATTATCATTGCTATTAATGAACAAGTAATATTATGATTTTTACATTTTTTTCAAAATTGATCATTATACTGTCATTCACCAAAAATTATTCTCGGCAGTTTGCCATTACTTTCCGAAAAGTGATGATGAAATAAAATCATCTTGTAGGTATTGTGGGTTAAATCTGAATCTTTGATATACAAAACAACTATGCAATTCTTTACATCACGATCGTTAAATTTTAATTATTGAATAATATAATTTAAAAAATGTCTCACTTTAGCATTACAAGAAATCAAGTAACGAAAAAAAAAAAGAAATCATTACTTTCTAAATAATGATAATGGTAACGCATTATTTTTTATTATTTTTATTATAAAATAAAACGTTTCCAATTTTGCTTTAGGGAAATAACAAATGTTGGCAGATAATAACTTGTCATGTATAAAAATATTTATTATTATAAGTGTATAAAGGATTAAATTAAGCGCTATTCGTAAAATAAAAGAACATTATGCAATTTAATAATTTGAAATTATTAAATACTGTATGAAAATTATTACACATATACTGCATGTTTAGGTAATAATATAATATATAAAAATATGGTATATGAAACAGGTATACCATCGCGTGACAAACAACGTTAAAGAAATTAGTAGAAAAAAATGTTCGTATATTTGAATACTGTAAATTCTACATTATTATAAATTTTATTAATTACATAATAATTTCTTATTGATGATAACGAATGTATGCTGAAATATTTTATAATAGAAAAGAATATTATTTATCGTGAGGCATTGAATTAGGATAAATTGCTCATAATATTCATGAAGCAATGTTTGTGTTTTCATTTTCTTTTGTATAAAAATATTATGTATGTATAAGCAACATGGACCCAGCAAATCAAAACTGTTACATAACTTAGAGAGCAGTTATATAATTTAAAAAGAACAATGATATATTTCATAGAGACGTAAGTGGACATGTAAGTGTCACATAATTTTGAGGGTATTTTAAAAATATATATTTCTTCGTTGTGTTATATAATCATTTAATAATTATTTAAAAATTTAATCTAACACACACATAACTCTCAAAACATAAATACAATTATGATCTTTCAACAATTTAACGAATGTTATATTGTGTTACATATAAAATACGTATACAGAGAGATTAAATTTATACAACTTCCAGTCGTTAGGGGCATTCTAGAAGATGCTACTAGTATTTTTTGTGTCATTCTTGTGTTTATTCTTATTTTACATTTAATAAACAATATAGATGGAATGATAACATAAATAGCTCTAATAACATCTTCCCGAACACAATAAATGCTGCAGATTGCTCAAAATCAATCAGTTCAAAATTGAATATTACATCTAACGCATCTTTTTTTATGTACATTTTACTCATAGCGTCAATTTTTATTACTATTGTACCTATTTTGTATATATTTTATATAGTATAGAAATATGTAAAAAAAAGATGTTTATATTTACATTGTAATAAATATATTAATGATATTTCTGATATAAAAATGATGTGTTCAAAGTTGCTAACATAAAACCGTATCACTACGCTATATCGTTATAAAATAAATAATTATATGTAACATTCTTGATATTCGTGTAACATTACATCGAAGTTACATGTTGTGATTTGCTGGAAATAGTCCATTATAATGAGAATTACTCTATCAATGACAACATCAAATTTAAAACTATTATATAATTATATCTGGACAAAAATAATGTAATGATAAAATGATTAAATATTCACACTTATGTACTGTATCAATTATAAAGCAGCTGTTAAAGATAAAAAGCGATATGAGAGTTTAATCCACACATAAATGAAACGGGAAATTTTTACATATCGTTTTACAAAGCACGAAAAATTATTATTACTATTATTATATTATTACTATTATATGTTACTATTATACATCATTTGCTTTTTGAGTATTAATATGCATTTTCGATATCAACATTGAAAACGTGTTCAAAACATTCTAACTTATTCCAAAATAAATAAATAAAATGTCATCAAAGAGTATTTATTTCTATCTCCGAGAAAGTACACGCACGACGAAATGAATGAACACTCAATTAATTACACTATAATTAATTAAAAGCAGATTAATTCATTTTTCGAGAATAAAGTCTTTATAACAATTTTCATTTTACAGTGACTTCACCTAAGGCTATCTTTAAATATTTTAAATACTTATAAATTTCTAACATCCGATGCATCTTTGTATGTAAAATACACCTTTCTTAATATACACCTCAAAATTGAGCAATAAATTATTTTATTATTGAACATTTTTAAAAACACTGTCTCTTTATAAAAATAAATGAAATATTACCATAAAAATTTTAATAATACTAATTTTTAATAAACGATTTATTAGGACTATATAATGTGAATACACAATAAGTAAGAAAGAATGCCTATACCAGTCGAAGCTGGATCTTAAGTGCTTTAAATAATTTTATTTAAATAATTTTATATTATATACCCTATTATATTTATATATCCTCTTGAATTGCACGCTAAATTGGTTTTTTGAACTTAAAAATGCAATTGAACTATGCTATAGTAATATCATAAATTAAATTGACAAGCAATTTAATAATTTGATGTTTAATTGCATTATTTTTAGGCATCATTTTTAGAAGATCTTAATGTACTGAAAATCTTTAAATAAATTTATTACGAAAAATATTATCTCTAGAAATCGAACCTGGATGTCTAGCATTCTGTGCTAGCATCCTAATGCGGAGTCTACAATAGAAGTCGTAGCGATTACAATCGAATATGAGAAGAATAATTGACTATGATTGGTCAATTTTCTATGACTTAAGACTCTATGACCGTTACGACTTCTATTATAGACTCCGCATAAGCCTTTAGACCAAAGGGATCTTAGTAATATTCCTCGTAATAACCGATATATAGGAACATACATTTTTCACGCAGCGTATATAAACAATAATAAATTAAATAACTAATGATAAATGCTAATTTTTCTACATGTCCAAATAAATTTCAAAAATATTATTCAAAAATAGAACCACTTGATTAGTCATTTCAAAAAAGAATATATTAGGTCATTTAAAAGTATCCGCGGTTTTTTATTCAATTTTTGAATACTTTTTAAATGACCCAATATAAGAACATATGACTATAAATTATCATATATTATATTTTCTTAATATTCGACTAAATTTTTTCTGTAAAAATATGAGATAATAACAAATAAAAAATGTGTTAAATTTAAATTTTGTATTTAAAAATGAAAGAATTAATTCATTTCTTTTAATGAGAACAGCGTTGATCGTGTAGTTGCGTGGTCAGTCGATCAATGAATCAATCAAGCGGGATGACACTATGATACACACTATGGTGAACCTTCTTTATGTGTCGCTGAAAATTGCATCGTTGATGGATCCTCTTGTTACAGTAAGGACACGAGTTTTGTGGCTCCATGTTGCATTCTTCTCGTAGATGACGGTTTAAGGTGCTCTTGTTAACGTAAGATTTAATGCCGCACTTGTGGCAATTATACCGTTTATGAGGAAGCGCGTTCCGCGACCTCCGCTTCGTTCTACCTGTAAACAAAATTTGAATAGTTATTAATGCGTACGACATTCATTCAGCACTCGACAAATATCTGCTCATGATCTTTACGATGCGTTTATGCGAATCGATTCAGATTCGTTATCTTACCTTCAGTTGATTTTATTCAAATTATTGAAATTCAAACGATATTTGTGATTAACAATGATTAGTCTTGACAATTCACAGGAAATGACATATTTGACAAACCCAAAAACATTTATATATTACTTGATGTAAAGGACTCTTGTAATTATCTCTTAATTATAATATCAAAAAAACATTTTTAATGCATGTAACATGTCATTTTATTTGTTTCAATATATATTATTTTAGCATCTTCCAAGTCTTCAAGTCATGCTCTTGTTGACAAATCGTCTCATTTATAAAAATAATATATTTAATGTAATGGAATATGAAACCTCTCTTCGGTTATTCAATTGTGCGCATTAATTTAAAATACGCATATAATATAATTTTAAACTAATAACTATATAAACCATATAATATAATTTTAAACTAGCAACTATATAAACTACAATAAAACACAATAAACGGGATCATATATAAAGCCTCGATGAATTTCATTTAACATCCAAATTACGAAAATTAGTCAACTTATCACAGAATTATTATTTGATTACAAAATTGAATTTAGCGAAAAGAGATCTTTCAGCGATGCAGTCAACGATCTCATCAAAATTCTTAAATGTTAGCATACCTAATATTTTTTATACGAGTCTAATTGTGAACACCCTCTACACGTAGTAGGATAAAAGTTCGAAAAACTGGCTAAATGTCTTGAAATTTGAATAAAGCAAATGTGATTTCATATTATAAATAAAATGAAGAATCTCTAACTAAATTATATAAAGGCTTTATCAATTTATTTCGATTTGGCAAGGCAATGAAAGTAAAAAAGACACTGAATCTGAAAAACTTTGTTTTGTTAGCCAGTTTTCGGATTCTGTCCCATTGTGCTGTGATAAGATTATAATATATTCTTATTATGCGATAGCACATCAATGAAGTTAATGATTTCTTAAATAATATATAGGTTAAATAATATATAGGCATTTTAACTCCTCCCCACTCTGTATATAAGAACAGTGACGGATTTATATCTTTAATCAAAGTTAATATTTGTCTCATGAAAAATTCTTTCAAAAAAAATTTTTTTATAAGCGTAATGTATTAATTCTTTTTATAATATAATAAAATAAAAAAACATTATTTTTATCCAAAATTAGATATAATAAAAGTAATATAAATTTTATTTTATTAGGTGTTGGAATTAATTCGTAGCGTTTTTTAATGAAAGAATGTTATTTATTTCACATGAGCATTAAAAAATACATTAATGAAAGTACTTCCCATCACTTGTAAAACGCTACGAATTAATTCCAACACCTAATAATTAACATAATTTTATTTTAAAAAATAATTAACGTAAATTTTAAAGACAAAAAATTGAATATTTTAGGTAAAAAAAATGAGATAGGTATCAATATATACATATATCACGTGTTTTAGCATTATTTATCATCTGTGATTCATCACTGTGTGCGAGAAAACAACGCTGGTTAACTAATAGATGTAATAATATAATAGAACAAAAACTATAAATTTTGCAAAATGCTGTTCTCGATTGCGATGAAAGCTGTGAATTAATTAATTCTCCTATGTTTAAAAGCTCTTCGCGAAAAATGTTAGTTATAATTGCATTCTTCATAGTAGCACACATGCACATATTTTTTTTTTATTTTCTAATGCATTATATCTAATGTTAATCTTCTTTATCTTCGATGTTCTTTCTTGACAAATCATATTGAATTATCTCTTAAACTCGCATATTTAAGACGTCTCTTGAGCCTTCGCAGCAATTCACAAAAGAAAATATCAATTTTTCGCAGTTTTTACTAAATACATATAGTTTTCAATTATGATATATAATGACTCGTTCAGCAGAAAACTTTGTAACTGTTACAAGATTCTTTAATATATTTAAATCTAGTAAAGAACTAAGGCAAGATCAATTATATTATACTAACAATATAACTGCGTGTATAACGAGCAAGTGAGAGTAAACAATTATGCGCCAAATTGACAAAATAATTAATTTATATTTGTTCTTCTTACGTGCTACAACAATTTTTTTTCTTCTTCATACGTTTCGGCTCAATTCAAGTCACCAGCTTCAGCGAGTTACATTGATTTTCCTGTACAAACATACATGTCTGAATAAATGTGCAATATATGTATAGTAGGATGAGTCTTTTTCATCTTCACAATTGAAGAGTGTAACATTCCAATAGTTGTTTATCTATGGACGTTATACAGAATGTACAGCTATTGGATGCTAAACAACTATTGGATGTTAGCGTAACTTTTTGCTATACAATCTACCTAAACTCGAAGGTAATTATTGAAGAGACTCATCCTTTATCATTCTTACATACAATGTATGTTCATCCTCAACTAGATTGATTAATATGATTAAAATATTTACAACGCACGGATAATCGTTGTCAGGTAATATTACTGTTCTACATGACTATCTGTATGTAATTTTACAACTAATAATGAAGATGAAGTCAAAACATTCTAAAAACACATCCATTTCAAACACAAACATTCTTTGTGGAAGTATGTTACGTATCAAATTAAATCCTCGTCTTGATTTATTTTTAAAAAACTTTTTTGTAAATTATTAGTATCTGTCTGCATATTATGTAAAAAAAATCTTATCATCGTGATTATGTAAACTTCTGTAATATGTTAGTGTATGCATGATGTAGAAATTCGGTATCAGATTATGAATTTAATCCGTTTTTTTGCATTTTTATGTGCAACATTTCGTAGATCAACCTTTTATTAAAATATCTTTCATTGTCTAAAATTTTCACATTTTTTTTTTAAAGTGATGTCAGTCGTGCATTAATAGTGTCAAATATAAAATTGATGGGATAGTCATTGTTTGAAAACATTTCTACAATTCGTCTCAAATTTTCTTCATGAAATTTTGGATGCGCTAATAAAAATTCTAGTTTACTATATAGGCTCATTAAAACATCTCTTTTCTGTGGGAGTGGGTGGTAGGATAGGAAATTGAGATACTTTTCTGAAACCGTAGGTTTATGGTACATGTTACATTCTAATTTCCCATTATTGATTATGTGATGATGTTTAAAAAATTTAACTTCCTTAGTAAATTCAACTAACGATAACAGTTTTTTATCCGTGTTAATCTCTGTCCTAGAGGCACTTTTAATAATGGATATCGATTTATTTCTTAAGTTTAAGAAAACTTCAGGATTTAATTTTAATCTTTTTTTGATGTTATTTTCTACATTCTTGATTCAAACAGTTTTCTTTTTGAAGGTAAGGAAAAAATTACTTTCTAATTGTAAAAGATGTTGGATATTATTAAGTATTATTTCTTCCATGAGAGAGAGAGAGAGAGAGAGAGAGAGAGAGAGAGAGAAAAGAAGGAGAGAGAGAGAGAGAGAGAGAGATATGTTAACAAACTACTTATCTTTAACCGTATATAATGATGATGTATTCGTTACTTTTGTAAAGGAAGAAAATTTTATTATAATTTCTGTTGTCTGTCTTCCTGAGGTTGTAAAATCGAATCAATAATATTGGGTCATCTAAAAAGTATCCGCGGTTTTTTGTCACTAGATGTGTTGACCATCAACATCATTTAGTGACAAAAAACCGCGGATACTTTTTAGATGACCCAATATATGAATACCTCTCATTTTCTTGTAAAGATAGATGAATATCGAATTGATTTTGTGTGACATATAATGTCGTTATGTTTCTTAATTCAATCATTCAATTTTTTTATTTATAATTCTCTGTTCATGTAGAGACATTTGGTGGAGTGAAAAATTCTGTTTGCAAAAAATATCATATATATGAGCGAGGATCCAATTATAAATTTGTCTCGTAACATACAGTATTAGAATCATATAAAAAATGGTAGAATGATATAAGATGAAGCGTTCCCGTGAATGCGTAGTCATCCAAAAATAGTATAAAGGAATAGCGAGCCAATTAGTTATGTCCTATGATTCAAATATGGCTGATAGCAGAGCGCTAAGTGCTCTGCTGAGAACATATTGTTCCAGCCACCATAAATTCATATATTCGAGAGTCAAATTAAATTTATATTACATTATATTAAATTATATTACAAAATTTTACAACAGTTGTAATATAATTTGTTTTTTCTGCTAAACGAAGCCATTCTGGATGCATTCGGGGAGATTGTCATTAGCAATTATTTGTATCATTCTATCGTTTATCAGCTGATACACTTACAGTACTCGGATAGATATTAAGCCAATTTAGTAAAATTTAGATCGAAATGGGGAATCAGCTTCGACCATTATTTATTGCTATTCGTTGTTATTAACATTTTATAATTTAATTTATATAATAAATTTTCAATATAAATATATCATTTTCACTTCCAATTAAAATTATATATTTGAAATTACTTCGCTTCTCTCCGTGAGAAGGACATGACTGATTGTCCGAAATTTTAAGCTACTCCCTCCATGATGCGCAACATTTCAACTTATTAATTCCACCATTAGAGTGATGTAACACGACTTAAATGTATCATTTAATTCTATCTTAATAAGTATTCTATTAACAATTACTATTTGTAATTTATTAAATTTATTCATTGATTAAGGATGACAGAAATTCAATTCTAAATTCTAAACTCAGTAAAGTTGTTGATACAATGATACAATATTTTGTCGTAAACAAAATTTCAGAAACTTTATGCGAACCGTGATCTTAATAATATTTTTCCGATGTTTAATCCATAATTTCATAAATTTAAAGAGAATTTTCTTCAAAAGTAAATAGAATAAAACTTAAAAATGTGACTGGTGTTGCATACATATTGTTCCAGCCACTATAAATTCATATATTCGAGAGTCAAATTAAATTTATATTACATTATATTAAATTA